TTCTGTCTCTATGTCTCTCTCTGTCTGGCGAGCGCACGTGCCCTGTAGCGAAAATCTCTCAAAAAAAAACTCTCCAATAAAAAAAAAAACCTAATCATAAATTAAGGATGGCCTGTATATATCTATCAGACCCAAACATACCTACTCACATTTTTTTTATACAAGTTTTTGCCTTAGGGCACATGTACTCACTGAGGAAATAGAATGACAGAGAGAGTGAGAGGGAAAGTTTGAAATCACCCCCCAGGGGGGGTGGCCACGCTGTAATCCCTTCTCCTTCACTTCCTACCTGGGATCTTGGGCAAATGCCAGTGTGAGTTTAAAGCCACCAGGTCTGGGATTTGAACCATGGTCGGTCATGTGGGGGTCCAGCAACATAATCACTATGCCACCTGCCGGTCCCCCATTCACATTTATATGAGTATGTAAATAAATATGTAAAAGGAAGAATAAATTAACTAATGAGTATGAACACAAAAATAAGTATGGGGGAAAATTCAGTTATGTGAAGAACAAGGGGGAAAAAATGAAACTTTTATGAATAGTTGTTTTCTTCCATCCTCAGAAATAAGCACAAAAAACTCAACCTTTCTGCCTGTAAGTATCTCCTGCCCCATGAATGCCACACCCAAGAGCTTCAAATCTCTAGAGGCAGATAAGGAGTATTATAGAGGACAGGAGAATGTGATTCACTAAAGGAACCATAGAATGCTAATTTTATACTATTTCTTTGTTGTCTAAATACATAAAGCAGTAAACACACCAGCTCAGTAGTGTCAGCAGGACTTCCAAATGCATTCAGGTGTTCAATAATGTCCTTGAGATCTTGGGCCATTTGTTTCAGCTGAGCATCTATAGTTTCTGTTAATCTATAACTGAAAAGGCAGGTAATATATAGAAATTAACAAAAAAATGTTTTCTCCACTATTTATTATCATTGGCATTCAAACATGATACTACCAACTGGATTTGACCCAATCTCCCTACCTTCTCAGTGGATCTCAATTTTGATCAGTGGAATATTTTCATGGATGCAGAATTTGTGACTCATTATTATAACATTCTGAAAAAACTCCAAAGATGAAAGGTTTTACCTACCTTACCACTTTTACTGTCACCTGCTTACCCTCTTGCTCATCAAGGGAACTCTAATCAAAGGAATGCTTTTTAGTTTCAAAATACATCCATAGGACATTTAGATATATCAGAGAAATTATTTAGTATTTAGCAATATTTGATTAGTGCTGAGACATCTTCAATAATCTTGAATACATACATTTTCAGAGTAAAACTTTATATAAATATATTCTACAAGGCAACAAAAACTGTTTTGAGAAATGATCTTCATAATAATCCAAAGTAGATAAATCTGCTAAATGTACAAGTTGAGTAGTTGCCTAAATTATCAAGATTTCCACCCAATTTATGTACTCATCCACACACTTAACCCAGACAATGAATATGTTTATGAGAATTAAAGTGGCCAGAGGATTTTTCAACCTTAATGTCCGTAAAGATTAAAATATTCAACTAGATTTGTTGATAACTACTTCCATTCTGTGCCAAAGTACTTAGAGACAACTAGTTGCCAAGATCATTGAAGATTATGGAGAAGATATCACATTATAAATCTGAGTACAAAAAAAGCAATTGGAAAGAAACTATTATTTCAAAGATTTATTGAAATTACAGTTAGGATCTTATGGCAAAATATGTAATTCTGAATAGTTTTTAAAAATGGTGGAAGGCATAGAAAGCAATGGAAAGAAAAGGAAAATTTGCAAAGGCTGAAATACAAAAGCTGCCTGGACTAGCTCAGCATGAACGCGTTTCTCTGGGGGCCACTTTGCCAGACTAGCTAGGCATGAACACGTTTCTCTGAGTGGGGAAGGCTGTGGATTAGAAATAGACGCAATAACAAACACACAAATACACACAAGTATAGAAAAACGAGAATCAGGTGGGCACAGCTTCTCTGATGGAGAAGTTACGACCAGAACCAGCCTCAGGTTTATTCTTTTCAAGGGCAGAAAATGGGGGAAGGGGAAAATGGGATGCAAAAGGAATGGGGAAGAAGGAAGTAGAATGCAAAGAGAATAAGGGAGGTGAAATCAGAATGCAAAGCCAATTGTTTCTGGATGTAAATCATCTGAAGATGTAAAAATGACTGGTGCAATATAATTTCTCTAAGTTTTTTTGGGGGGACAACTTAATAAACGCATGTAACTTCCTTTAGCCCCATACTGAGCAGTATGGGGGTATTGGGTATCGACAACAACGACAAAACAATCATTGACAACAGGCAAATACTGCTTTCGTATGTAAATGCTTCTCAATAGCCCTGCTAGAGTAGCTTATGAAAGTGCATTTCTGCATGTGTCTACAGGCCACATGTTTTCATCACATGTTTTCAGATTGGCTGCTCTCCACAAAAAGCAGAAACAATTAGAATCAGTACAGATCAGCTGTACTTACCATATATAATACTCCTACAAAAAAAGTTAACTTGCAAGCAAGTCTTTGTAAAATAAGCAGCCTTGGGGACAACAGGTGGCATGATGGTTAAGGCTCGGGTGGTTTTTCACTTTCTCTCTCTCTGTCTGTGTGTCCAGTGAGTACATGTGCCCTAAAGCAAAAACTTCTCTCTCTCTCTCTCTAAAAAAAAGCAGTCTTAATTCTCTAATAAGCCATTGATAAAATGAGCCCAATTTAGTCTTAATCTAGATTATGTAACACAATCATACAAGCTCTCCTAACACTTTATAAATTGGTCTGCTTATGAAATCTCAGTTCCAAAGAGATAAAATTACTGTGGGGACATTGGCAATGTGTAGACAGAAGGAAAAGACTGCATAATACACAAATAATAACTAGCCTTAAGACATTGACAAACTCACTCCATTTTTGAAAGCTCTGTAGCTTGCCCCCAGATTAACAAATTGTCCTTCAAGTATTACAGCAAATGATTTATCATTGAGGCAACTGCATGAACATTAGGTTTAGAAGAATCAATACAAATAGGACACCATAAATATTTCACAATATTAAGACAACACATACACAAAATTCGTATTTCTAATTTAAGAACAAACTTGACAAATATAAAAACTTTATTGTATACATGCGTAAGTATGAGATTAATAACAATTAATTAATAAGTCTGAGATTAATAAAACATAATTGTCAGATGATTTCATTTTCAAACACCCAGATAAATAGGAAATAATAGTCGAATTGTTAATATAAGAACAGATTGTTCTCTTTCTCTTCCTTCCTTCCTTCCTTCCTTCCTTCCTTTCTCTCTCTCTCTTTCCTTCTTTCTTTCAGAGGTTTATGCCTTAGGGCATATACACTCATCAGATAAGAGAGAGGGACAGAGACCGTGAGAGGTAAAATGAGAAATCACCCGCCTCCCCAGGGAAGATGGCCACACCACAATCCCTTCTTCTCCCAGGATCTTGGAAATGTGCACACACACACACACCCGGCATGATTTTGAAGCCAGCAGGTCCGAGACTCGAGCCACAGTCGAGTCAATGTGGGAGTCCAGCAATGGAATCTCTATGGCATCTGCTGGTTCCAAGAACTGGTCCTTTCCTATGAATTTTTTTAAGAGAGATTTTAGCTATATTTTGCATGCACTCACCAGAGAGACAGAAAGACAGAGAGACATAAAGTGAGAAATCACCCCCTGGGGGGATGGCCATGCCACAATCCTTTCTCCTCTCGGGATCTTGGGCATGTACACACACATGCTCAGCATGAGTTTTAAGCACCAGGTTCAGGACTTGAACTGAGGTCAACTACATAGGAATCCAGTGACATAACCATTATGCCATCTGCTGGTCCCCGCTTTTCTACTAATTCTTAGTCCCTGCCTTCCAATTCAAGTTTTCTCTCTTTTTGGGAATGCTCTCACAGTGGGTAAGTCCTGCACTACACCTTGGCCTTTATTTAGTTACTCACGTCCTCTCATGCTCCTCAGTTGCATGCTGTAGATAAATAGGCGCATTCTGGTCCCACACAGACCCCTGTAAAGGAATCAGCATTTTTTCCAATTCATTCTGTTGCGACAGGATAAAATCCAATTCTTGTTCCAACCTAACAAAACAAGTCAACAAAAGGGCTGAAGAAAGAAATGTAGAGTGACAAATAATGTCAAAAAACTACAAAAAGGAAAATAACTGAACAAAAAGGTCTTTAATCTTTCAACCTAGGAAATCTAAGGTTCTACCTTTTCTGGTATAGTTTCACTTTTTCCACTTCTCTATGTAAAGTGATAATCTATAAAGAGAAATCAGAATACAGTAATGTAAATATTTAAGTTTAATGATTTTAGAGCAATATTCATTTTTTCAAATATACTTCAAATATTAAAGATTTCCTAATTCACAACACTTATTACCTAAAGAAAATACTTTGAAGTGGCTCATCAATATCAGAATAGAAAAAAAATCAACTAAAAAACCAGATCCATTTGCCTTTGTTCATCCGAAAATATATCTATAGTGCAAGTAGATTAATGAGAATATCTTCTTACCTTCTCACCATTCTCAAGTAATGCACGATCCCAATAACTGATCTGGGCTGCCTGGTAAAGAAAGTGATTCTCATAATCTTGTAGCTCGTAGTTCCACTTATTTATCAGACCTTCCAGATGACCATATGTCATCACAGGGGTTACTATTGCACTGCAAAATAAAATGATGTATAATGATCATATAATCATACTTTTAAGAATATGATCAGATTTTTTAAATGAACAGCATAGGAGGATTCTGAGAAGAAAATAGCACATAAGGAGTTTCTCATACCCGTTGCTCAACAAAACAACCACAACTAATAAAGATGATTTTAAAAATAGCCATTTGAAGTCTCTGGAAGTCATACTAACAAATTACAGCAAATAAAAATTTAAGAAATCATGGTGTAATGATTGGGGCTGGCAGGTGGCATGGTGGTTAAGGGCACTGGACTCCACATGGCCAACTGTGGTTCATGTTCCAGAACTAGTGGCTTGCTTTCTCTCTCTCCGTCCCTCTCTGGTCAAATTAATATAAATAAATAAATAAAGTTAAATGAAATGCTTCTTTTAAAAAAAGGAAAAAAGAAATCACAGTATAATGGTTATGTCACTGGATTCTCACGCAGTCAACTGTAGTTCAAGTTATGGACCCGGTGACCCCAAACTTATGCCAGGTTCATGTGCGTGCATGCCCTAAATCTTGAGAGGACAAGGAGGAGAAGGGATTGTGGTTTGGCCATCCTCCCAGGGGGTGATTTCTCACTTTCTGTCTCTCTGTCTCTCTCTGTCTTTTTAGCAAGCATACATACCCTATAGCAAAAATTCTTTCTAAAAAAATTTACGGAATTTAAGATATCAGGACCATCAGATGGTATAATGGTTATGCAACTGGATTCCCACGTAGTCAGCTGCCATTCGAGTCCCAGACCTGGTGGATTAAAACTCACGCTGGGCATATGTGTGTGTGTGTCCCCAAAATCCCAAGAGGAGAATTGAGCAGAAAGGATTGCAGCATGGCCATCTTGCCCCAGCAGGGAGTGATTTCTCACTTTCTGTATCTCTGTCTTTCACTGTTTCTCCAGCAAATACGTGTGCTCTATAGCAACAATCCCTCTAAAAAATTAAGAAATCTACTAAATCAAAGTAAGAACAGCTTAACTCTGTGCCATAATTTGCTCTCTCTCTTCCTGCATCCCAGCTCTGCATGATGGAAGCTCCTTTCTAGGTTGATATGGCCAAAGAGATGAGACTGTTCTCCCCAGCTCTTAAAGTGATTCATCCCCCTATCTGACTGGTATTCACAAGGGAGTAGATATCCCCTACCAGAGAAAACATGAACAATCCCAATTCCCCTGCCAGGGCATACTAAAAAAGGTTGGGCAGCTAGTTGATCTTTGATCCCCCACTCTCCCAGCCAGCAGAGCTAGTCCTCTGCTAGGGCAGTGTCAGTAAAGCTCAATGAGAGGGTAACTGTCAATTCCCTACCTAGTCAAAACAGGTAGTGTCCCAACTCCCCCACCAGGGTACTATTGTTGGGATCCAATGATAAGCTGAACCTAAATCCTCACCTAGGAGCAACAAGACTTAAAGAAGCAGAGTGAGGTAGAGTAACTCATCAGTAGGCTTCACACCCTGACTTGGTAGGGAACTAAATCTCTATACCTATGTGGCATCATTAACACTAAATAGGTAATGCAATTTCCCACCAACCCTGGGGTCAGCAAGGCTCAATGGGGCACTTAACTTCCACACCTACTGGCAAAACGAAGACTGAACAATGCAGAGCAAAGCAGGGCTAGTCAGTACCCTGTCCCCCTTCCTTTTCTCATGAGCCTTCTGTCAGCAGGGCCCAGTAAAGAACTAAACTCCTATACCAACACAGAATCAATGAGGCAGAATAAAGTGGTAAGACAAAGTAGTTAACATCCTGCTTCCTCCCTCCCCTTGTGTCAGTGGGGCTCAATAGAAAGTTGAAATTCTGCTTCCATCTGCAGCAAATAAGCAGTGTAAGTTAGTTCTCTCTTT